AACAGAGTTTAGTCTTTACAGAAAAAGGATATTGTCAGACAAAAGTTGCAGAAGTTGTGCACCCGACTGTCCGGCTAGAAGTATAAGGGTGCTAACTATAATAATAATGACATCAGTTAATAGAGTGACAGGATCCTTAAGAGACTTACCAAAATAGAAATGATCGGTTACACGAAACTAATATACAAAGCAAATTCTCGCCTCTGCCCTTTGAACCTCAAAGAGTCATATCTCAGTCGTAAAAAAAAAAAAAAAGGAAGAAAAAATCCGGATTCCCCCCCTAGACACAATATCAGACAGTTGTTATTAATAGGCTTTAGTTGTTCTGGAAATTCGATTAGAGAGGATGGGAAGTAGCAAATCTAAGTTTGTGAATGGGATGAAAGAGCCCGCCTGTTGAAAAAATTGCGACGGTTTTAGTAATGATTTCCCTTGAATTCTCGTGGTTATAGAAATCAGTACTCAAACCTAGACAATGTTTGGACGACGTGCCCGAGTGGTCTAAGGGGCCAGGTTTAGGTCCTGGTATGGAAACATGCGTGGGTTCGAACCCCACCGTCGTCATAGCAATATGTAATTAAGCATATGTGGTCTAGTGTATTATTTTGCCACTTCGCTAATTAGTTTAACATTGTAATAACTCGACTTTTCTTTTGCATTACTATTGGCATTGAGATACTGGCGTTGATGATGCTTCTCAAACCTACGATTGATGTAAAGACTGGTTTTAGTAAAGTTTCCTTTACCGTGCGACAAGCTTTAGGCCTAGTAAACTAGTTTCGAATAAAGCAATGATACATCATAATTAACTGGGTGGGTTCAGCTTTTCACATTTTCACCCTCTTGAAAGCGCAAGGAAGGAGTTTTCTTCCTGACTGTCACCATATCGACAGGAAGGGGATTGAACGATAACTGCCAAAAAATGGCACGCGTCTACCTCTAGTTAGAGTTAATGGATCGGTAAATATAATCACAAGTCCTTGGGGATATGTATTAAAGACCCCTGATACTGGTCAATTATTCCACCTAGCTAAACCAGAATATGGGTAAACTATGCTTTATTTCGTGTTAAAGTCATATAAATTATAAAGGTTCCAAGCTTAACTTTTGCAATGGTATTCAGTCAAAATTCATCGTCCTTGTCGCTATCCTCCATATCAATCATTCCATCTGGTAAATTATACTTCCCACTAGCGACACCTTTAGCGAAGTCCATCACTATTGTCAGTTCGCTAGGACTTAAATTTTCTAAAAAGCTCAGAGTATTTTCTTCAAGTTTGGCATAAGCCTCCTGACCCAAATCTTGGAACAGAATATACGTCTGTGTTGCGTACTGTATGTGTTTCTCAGCCTCCTCCCACGGACATCGTAACGCATCTCGACTCTGTTGAACGCTCATAATTTTCGGGTTATTCTTTAAGTAAAGTTGCAACTCTCCCAAACGAATTGCGGCCTTGAGACGGCTTCTAAAAGTAGCCTTTCTGTTACGAGAAATCCCAAACTCTTTGTTTAATCGTCCTCGGATATCTTCGGGATTGGTTATCGCCCGAAATGTGAGTGGAGTAGCTGTCCCTTTCGCGGCGTTACGTAATAGCCGACACAAATCATAATAATCATCGTCAACCAGAAAAGGCATCGGGGGATAGGTGCGCGGAGGATAGAATCGTTGTCTCGAATTAGACGCAGATTCTTGCTGTGGATTAGGTAACGGTGACGCCACAGAAGATGAACGCGCCGGAGAAGATGTCATATTTGGATGTATGACATTATTGAGAATATCGGAACCCGTTCCATCAGATCTGTTTGATGATGGCATTCTGCTCCCGGACAAGTCTTTTTTTAGATCCATAATTGCCGATATTAGGTCGTTCACCTCTCTTTGGGTTACTGGCGCTGCAGTTGATTCTTTTGCCTTTTGTTTCTGCGAGGATGTATATCTACTTGACGTCGAGTATTCTTCAGTCGCATCATATATTCTCGTATCATTGATCACTTTGTCTCCAAGGACTAATTGAAACTGTGGGCGGAAAATGATGGTTATTGAGGCATGTCCTGCGTTATAAAGCTCCTTAATCATCTCTGCTAGCGTGTCCGGCTTAAATGGAAAAGACAATTTGGGTGGTTGAAGATTCTCGGTCATGACTATAGGTATGGAGTGTGGGTGTTTGAGGTGTTGGGTGTGATTTTTGTGATGTCCCTATTTCTATGTGAAAAGATATTGATTGCGTAACATACCTTCTTGATAAAGACCACAATGGTAAGCATATCACATGGCTACCAATATGCAAACAAAAAATTTTTTTGTCCGAGAATATACTTTTTTGTTAATATATATAAATATTCGAAAATGACTAAAAGAAAGAGACAAAATAAATCAACTGTCGATGATGACAATAAGGAAGATCAAATGGACATATCTGATGATGAAACTTCTGACGAAGAGGTATTGACGATCAAGTTTCGGATTTGCCTATAAGATACAGCTTGTAATCGCCAAGAAAAATGATTGATCGCTCAAATCTGTTATCTGACCAACTTTCGTATTTAGTTAGAAGACTTGACTGTTGACACAGAATTCGAGTTTTTTGATCCGCAGAAACAAGATTTTCATGGAATTAAAAGACTTCTTACTCAATTATTCTCATCAGATGCGAAACTATTTGATCTCTCAGAGCTGACTGAGATAATATTAGATCAACCATTGCTTGGAAGCACAGTGAAGATAGATGGAGAGGGGGCCCAGGGAGACCCATATGCACTGTTTACAGTCTTGAATCTCGGTGTCCATAAGGTTTGTAATAATAGGCTATATTTATCGTAAGAACTTAGCAATGGTAATAGCTGATCACGTCTGCTTACGACTAATTTTCTTAGGAGAGATCAATATTCAAACAACTTCGCAAATATCTTTTAGAAAAGTCCAAGGAAGATGAGCAAGTACAGAAAAAATTGGACGAATTGCTTCAATCTGATAATGCGGGAATCGTTTTCAGTGAGAGAGTTATTAATATGCCCGTCGGAATTGTCCCGCCAATGTATAAAATGTTAATCGAAGAAATCCAATGGGCTGTCGACGAGGTAAATGTCGCATTGAAGGAAAATTTAGTTTATACCGAGTTGAAATGGCATTAGGAGTAACTAGCATGTGCAACTGATAATAGAATGAACCGTACAAGTTTGACTGGTATTTAATACTATCGAGAACGTTCAAAGAAATTGAATCGACACTTGGATCAGAGTCCAGTGGAAATAAAAAGAAAAAGAAGAAAAAGCCCGATACAGTAAGCACAGTATATATATATTACTGAGTTTTCCTAGCAGCAATTGTCTTTACTTACTCTTGTTCATTTACACATTTTTTGTCACAGTTATCTTATTTCCATCCTGAAGATGAGATAATTGAGCAGGTAGGAATTTTCTGCAAGTGTCTGCATATATCAAGTGGATCGCATATTAACTATAGGAACTTCCGTTTCGGTTCTGTAGAATTCAGATTTCATATTCGATTTCAAATTTACTCAGCAGCAAGCCTCTTCAGATTCAAAACGGACTTTTTATGATTTTGGGGTGTCAACAGCCATGCGATTATTTATTTTGCGAGGGGATAAGCTTCAAGCGGTGGCTGATGAATTAGAGAAAGCTTGTCAATGACCATTCGTGTTACTACATTAAAACTGTCAAGAACATTATTTGACATATACAAACCGTTGACGCGTGCCACAATGATATTCTATCAATCGTCTAGTTTGTCAAGTTTTCATGGTTCCACTACTAGTTCACCGAAGTACGCGACGTTTGCTTTCAGGATATCATTGACGCGCATCTCTTGTACCTCTACCGAGTTGCCTGTGCCTGCAAGCAATCGAAGCTAACGGGAAGACACAATGACATTAAACACATATAAAGATGTATATGTCTATTTAGTCAGTTAGACGTACCTGATAGACGTTTACGTGTCGTGGAAGATAATATGCGATGTTTTTTGTAATCATCTTTGCTCTATTGTATAATTTTATGCTGTACGAGAATGTACATTAGCCATGTAAATAATGTTGAATAAGCAGTATGGTTGATTTGAAAGATTATATAATACCCATCGAGATTAATCATTGTCTTGATGTCAAACTCTACGCAATCTAGATATGTAGGTCCTGGTTTGTTACACATTCAGTAGCATGGTTAAGTTTTCGATATGAGCGGTAAGTCAAGAGAATAATATGGCAAATCAGATGCCCAGAATTTACCTCCCCAAGGAGGACTAAGGAATACTACGTCAGCCTGTACAAACATAGAGCAATGACAATATCATCAATGATTCATATCATAAAAAAGTAACCAAATATGGATCATCTTACTTGTAGTTTTGGCGCTAATTCAAAGAAATCCCCATGTATAAATTCAATCCGATCCTCCACTCCATAGATTTTGGCATTCTCTTTCGCACAATGTAATCTTGTTAGGTTGTTATCGATTGCAATAACTACATGAGACATGCAAATCATACAGAATTAATAACTTTGCATAGCGTAGAAAATTTCACATTCACAAAAGCATCACCTTTATCACAAGTAAAAGCAAATTGAATAGCATTCCCGCCAACTCCACAGCACGCATCGATTATAGTTCCACAGGCACATCGTTCTGCAATATGCTTTGCAAAATCTTCAGGCGTCACTGAATACCACCCCTCTGGGAAAATGTAAACGATAGAGTCTTAGAATGAGATCACTAAGAAAAAGATCAAGCAAAATGTATTGGCGGCAATACCTTCGTCCATAAGTATTCCTTCATCATAACGAGAGAATAACACATATCGTTGATGCCAATATCTAAGAGCAAATTAAACTTTAAATGGACGCGGACTCGGTATGAAAATCAAGCGTGTCAATAAGGAGCATACTTTTGTAGATGGGCTGGCATCGTTTGAATATCGAGACTAATCGCAGAACGGTCGTAGTTTAATTCATTATCATTCCATGAATTCTTGTTGTTGACATTGACATTGGTCACAGTATCAATTTTAACTTTCTTTGATGATATTGACTGGTTGCTGTCTTCAATCGCGGCAGCATTTGTACCCAATGCATCAACCACTTTCCGTTTATTCCTTTTCCGTTTTCGTTTCTTTGTATTGCTTAGTGCGACTGACGTGTCGCTCATTATGACGAGAACGAAATTCAACCGAGTTGCAAATAGATCAAAATATTTTTATATGACCAGTAACAAATTTTCAGGGGCCTAAATTTACGCATAAGTAATTGACCCCCTCGTCATTTGAAATGTTCAGACATCACCACAACTGCAACCTATCTCGAGGAACGTATTGCCTTTTCATATTCAATGGAACCATTATAATTGAAGTTTTTCATATACTAATACGGGAATCCTATATAAACTTTATGTTTAGCAGTCACATGCAATTGCTAAAAATTTACTCTGTATCTTTAATAAGCTTGCATAGTATTATCTCTATTGTTGGATTGATGAGACATGATATGCTGAAAATTGGTCAAACATTAGCTCACCCAGTCACCCATTAGCAAACATTGCTTCAACCAATTTGAAGGAAAAAAATGTTCTAATTATATTAGTGGATTAGTACAAGCTGATTGCTCTTCTTTTTTTGTACTTTAGCTACAACATGTAACAAGTATTTACAAAAAATGATATGTCATAACGTCACTCTTTAGAGTTAGAATTATCTTGAACTATCGCGCGATAATCTTTTATGAAACGCGACATAAACCCCGTCTTTCAAATGAACATTTCCTTAATTAAGTACACTATTCGTAAATTTAAACGTCTAGTTCAATCTAGAAAATAAACGGAATCCTGCGACCGATGTGAGGGGGAAAAAACCAAGGATGCTAGGCCGCCTGCAGGTTGTAGAAATATACCGTCAAGTGCAAATGGAAACTCGACTCTATCAAATCAAAGACAAATTGTCCACTTTATCTTCGAACCAATAATTTAGTCATCTTGTTTAAGTATAAGTCCCTTGTATGTCATTATATCCAATACTACTTAATAAATCATGGTACTCTTTGAGAAACCACCTGAAAGTTGTTCTTGTTAGAATATTTGAGCCTTATGCTCTTTAAGAATATATCCAAACCAATAAATTTTGATTACACAATCCGGTAAGACACTCCGTGCGTGATTGCAGGTTGCTTATGCAATGATGTTTATATTTATTGTGGCTTTTGGGGTCTTCTTGAGTCCATCCTTAAAACTCAGAAACCCACATATACTCTTCTATTACTATTAGCCCAAATTCAAACCCCCCCCCCCCAAAAAAAAAAAAATTTTTTTTTTAATTTTTTCATATTAGAATAGGTTTAATCCGGTGTCGTTTAATCTGTCACATTTATTAACAGGTTAATCTTTAGAAAAATGGCATTATTATTGTGATGCGAATGGTTACTGTAGGTGAGTTTTGTTAATTGCCTATGTGCGTCGCCGCCGTAGACGGAACAATATAGTCATGGACACCAATGGAGAAATCAATGCATCTTTCAACGTTAATGTGACTATTGTAGATATTAAAATCTGACTATGAATCGTACGAAGACGCTCTAACCAATAGTATAAGTTACATATCAATTAGACATAGTTTCCAGTATGGCTCGTCAGAACAGAATCGTGTTTTCGTCTCGCAAGAGCAGCATTGACAAAATCTCTTTTGGGAGATTTGATTTTCATGACTCAGCATACCGCAGACTTGTATTACTTTTCAAGTATTTTAAAGTTGGAATTGTTTCCAATTAATTTCTATTTCATTTTTTGTTACTACTCGTCATATAAAGTACAGGAAATGTTCATCATATCTATTTTCGATAGCTGAGATCCTCACAGATTTATAATTAATTAGCGCGTGACTCTGTTCCATTACATCATTTATTCGGAACCACCCGTCGAGCTGCTGCCGCGTTCTCCCTCGACAACTTCTTTGCCTTTGCCTTTTCTGTCAATGTTGTGTTCTTCAGTTGCTCCATTACGCCTCACGTCACCAAATTCAAATTGAGACCGTGTCTGTGTATTGGTGCTATCACTCCCGCCAGTTGACGGTATATTGGGCATAACACTGATCGTCTGCGTCAATATTCCAATAAGATCAACAATTTGAGAATTGACCGTCTGGAGAATACGTAATTGTTCTTGGAGGCCTTCTCGAGTACCACTCTCAATTAACTTTATTTGATCTTCTGATAAGCCATCCAATGACTGAGACACGGGCCCATTCCGAAGCCGTGTTGGAAAGAGGGGTATCAGGCCATTAGGAAGCGCTGTGAGAGGTTGCATGAATGGAAGTGTCGTAGCCGAAGATGTTGACGATATCGTAGCCTGGATTGATTGACGTGGGAGAGTTGATGAATTAAATGAAAATTGCGTTTGAGCTGTGGACGATTGCGAATCGACTGGTTTGAGTAGTGGATGACTATAACACGTATTACGATCACTTGGTCAGCGATTTCCCCATTACCCACCTCATTCTGAGAGTTGCGAGGTTGTAAGTTACCTCCATCTCCCCCTACTCCGCCTGCTGGTGCTCCTTGTCTGTCGACTACATTCATTAATGGCACAGGTATAGCTGGCCATCCCCCTTGCATCGCCGGTGGAATCATCATAGGTGGCGGCAAGCCTTGAATAGGATTAGCAGCTACACCACCATTTCCAAATGGATAACCCCCTAATGGTGGTCGCGGCTGTTGTATTGGGGGTGCGTTACGCCCAGCACCAACTTGGCGGCCTTGTTGCTGTTGTTGTTGTTGTTGTTGTTGTTGTTGTTGCTGTTGCTGCTGCTGCTGTTGCTGCTGTTGTTGCTGCTGCTGTTGCTGTTGTTGCGTTGGTTGATCTAGATGAGATTAAAATTGAGACTCGTATCAGCATCGGATATTAAACAAAAAACATTTGGGCATTCAATTACTGTGTAACCTCTCTCGAGAACAGGTCTTCGACTAGAAATAGAAAAGTTAAGATTAATAACAATGTCGAGCAATTTGCTTGATCGACAATAAAATCGATTCGAGTTCAACCAGTATTATTTACCATGTTGGGCAGCTCTGTTGTCTTTCTAGCCAACTTCGTAAACAATGAAAATGAAATATATGTCCGCACGGTAACTTTTTGGGCGTATCTCCCATTCCATTATTTCTTGATTGAGTTCTTCCAGCTGCATTTGCTGGTTGATTATTTCCATTATCAATAATGTTATTAATATTATTGTTGTTGTTGTTGTTGTTATTATTGTTGTTAATGTTATTATTGTTATTCAAATCATCCTGATTGCCATTAAAAGCAACCATGTCCTCACGGCATATGATACAGGTACGATCACTCAGTCGTTCCAATTCCTCATTAGTCGCATTTGGATAACGTTCATTCATATTTCTAGTAGCTCTACGATATCTTATTAGATCGCCGCACTTTTGAACGAAGGAGCGAAAAGTAATATAGACATCTCGTATTATATGAAGCGGTGGCCCATAATGATAAAGTATTATGGCAAAGAATATGAGATATATTATCAGCTTGAAGAAATCTAGTCGACAAATGGGTGAACAGAATCAGTCAAATGTCACAAGATTTGAAATTTAAACAAGACTAAATCTTGAAAGTATACCCGTCACAAGCTCCAGATAGAACACATAGATCGACTTGTTTTCCCAAGGTTCTTCACGTCTCATATCTATAACATTCAATAGATACTTGAGGAATGTAGCAATGACAGTACAAGCCAATATGGAATACTACGCGTCAAATATGCAGATCACAAGTCAGTCATAAGTACAAACGGCATTGCTCGCTAAAAAATTATTACTTACCTCAAAAGCAAACATTATCATCATATTTGCGCCTTTTTGCCGTGTCACATTAATAGCATGCATTACAAGAAGCGAGTCCACCGAACACAATATCTCCATCAATGCCAACATTCGCACATGAAATAGCAAGGAAACAGCAGGCGATTGCCCCATCTACGCATAAAATCATTTTCAGTTAGCCAGAGAACATAATCTCTGCAGAATTCCACATCTCCGCACTCACAAACTCGATTCGATCCTGACATAGCCAATGGAATATTTTTAAGAACAACAGCGTTGTAAATGTCACCACGAATTTCGTATCAAATTCGTCTCGAAATATCGTCATCGCAAGACACGTTTCCGTAACTGCGTACCATGCTCTCTCATATAGATGCTGCAGGAAAAACAGTGGGCATGATGAGAATTGAAGGTTCGCAAATAAAAAAACAAAAGATCTACTCAACGGCAACAAACTTCAATCTCCACGGCTCGTAACCGTCCAAAAAAGATACGAAAAAGTATCTGCCCGAAAACGAGTGTCAAGAATAATCCCATATTCATTAAAATCTGGAAAATAGAGAGTGTGTGCGTAAGAACCTTGAAATTGGTAAGACACTCTTTGATAACATTATTTGAGTCGGTGGCCATTCCAACAGATTCAACACAGGAGTATACTAATTACACCGTCCCAACCTTGCTACATAAAGTAATGTTACATTCCTCCGGAGTATGACATACCATTAAACACGCACTTGACTTTGATAGGTAAATACAAGCCGAGTAAAAGTTGCTCCGCTGTCTGAGTGCATTTCCGACGATCGAGATCGTCAAAAGCGTGCTGACACTGCCATACACTGCCCAGCGAACCATGTTGACTAAAAGAGACAGAATTTAGAATATTGCTATTATAAATAATGTCGTGTGATGAGTCAAATATGACAGTTGACGCACTCACGTGAATTCAAGCCTACGTTTTTGCCAACTCCTAGAGTCGACTTGTCTCTCCCGATTTTCTAACCATGTCGACGTCGGACCAAGCATTAAGACAGGCACGTAAATATTTGCAACAAATTTTATTTACAACGCTAATTGTAATAACGTCTGTCTAGTGAATTAATAGGTCATTGTTGACCTAAACAACCGTTTAGTAGAGAGCAACCGTCAACTGTCAGGTTTAAAGGTTCAGATCGCAAGCAAAGAGAGAGAGAAGCGTATGACAGAATTGACCAAGAAAGAACTCTCTACACTTGATTCCAATGTAATAACTTACAAATCTGTTGGCAAAGCGTGAGTAAAACAATACTTCTCTCGGTATCATGGTATTATTTTTTTTTACATTTGCAATAACGTCACGTTCAAATTAGGTTCTTTCGCGCAGACTTGCCGTTGCTGATGAATGATATGGATAAACAAGTAGAAAAGGTTACATCAGAGATTGAAGTATTAGATAAAAAGAAAAAGTACCTAGAGAGGCACATTAATGAGGCACAAACAGGATTAAAAGAAGTCCTTGGACGACAGTAACTGAAAGAGATTGTAAAAAGTTATGTACACAAGCATTCCGATATAATTATTAATTTGAAATAATATTGGGAGCGATAGAAGAGTTCTTTTTGGCGCGTCGAATAATGCATGTTTCAGACATTTGCGGAATTTTTTTGCACGGGTTAGTTATGGATTATAATTACAATAAAACCAATAGATGTCAAATCTGTCTGTCAAAATTAATAAATGTATTTTACAATGTCTGATTTAAGAAATCGCGTAAATAAAAATAAATACAAAATGCCAATTTTCCAGGGTCAAAAAACTAATAAATAATTACATGAACAAAAATTCACCAGGAATCAATTTTTTTTGTAGCGCTTACTCTAAATCATCCCACTCCAATCAAACCCAGTTACAAATTTTATCATGACTCTTCAGCATCTCTATTCAGTACCGTAGTCTCGTCAGCATTGTCATCGTCAGCGGTACGGTTACTACTCATCGATACTCTTTCATATGTTCCTTCATCCTCTTCGTCATTATCCGGGTTGCGAACAAGCAGAGAACTAGCACGTGAAGGCTGAGCTCGATTGGAGGCAGTTTCAATGTCATTGTTGGGTTCACTCGAAGCCTCTTCCCCTCCCTCGATTTCGCCAGTCGTTTCTGATACTTCTCCACTATCTCTATTCCCCTCACCGGCATTCGCTTCCAGATCCGTCGTGTCGTAGGTTCTTCCGCCTTGCCTGCCGTCCAGGTTGCCATTCTCGTTCTCAACCACGCTCTCATACGAAGGCGGCAATTCTCCGGGTGGCATGATCCAACTCACCAACTGTGCCCACATCGAAGGATCTCCCTCAACCGTGTATCGTGGTAATGTAGCCGAGCTGTTCTGTCTAGTTAGTATCGTACCACTGAGTAAAAGACTGGCACCCCGCCGCATGCGCGATCCTACTCCAGTGTCAGCAGTATCCTGAGCGGCTTCGTCGTGCTTCTTGCAAATCTTTTTAGCATACATTATTGTTAAGAGCGACGTCAGCAAAATTATAACACAGCTAGCTATCGCTATTACTTGACTTGTGTTTGGTTGCGTTGAAGGCGGAGGACCAAAATAGTGAACGTTCGCCGGCCGGCTAAAGCCGCCAGTGAGTTCGCTAATTTGATCTTCGGATGGATCCGGTTGACATATTCCTTGTGAACAGATATAAGAGGCACAATGATTGGACGACAAGCATACTTCACCGGCATACAATTTGTGCCGGCATTTCCCTTCTTTACAGTAAAGGTTTGGCAGGTTGTTACTCAAATCGTCTATACATGATCCGATTTCAAGCGGATTGTAAAATGTTCCTGACGGTGGAGAAATTGTGTCCGATGCCCAGAACTGTGATGCCCATCCGGTTACTTGTAATTTGACAGTGTCGTTTGTTATCTGCAGGTTTTCACATGCTGCATCTACGGAATCACCTGGATTCGTGGGCCCGACGTATTCGATGGGAGGAAATACCGTCGAATTCAATCGCCAAGACGATAATTGAGCAGTTGAACACGTAAGCGAATTTTCAGTGATATAGCAATAAGAATTCGAAGAACAGCTCGCGCTGCCACAGTATGTAGTTTGATATGCCATTAAGTAATAAAATATCAGAGAGGAACTTTGTTAAAAAGTGTGTTGATTGTTAGGTAATAGTGATGAGCTCAATTTGTAACACATTTTCCATATTTGAACCATGTGGCTTGGATTATACAACATTCAATGGCTTAGAAAGCTTTCTTGGTGAAAATATCACTTAGTTTGGCGTCAGAGACAATAACTAGGGAGTGGAAAAGGGGGGCTTATGTCTGCGTAAAAGTAATTATTCCGGACTATGAAATGAGCAAATTGTGCAAGTTGAATCAGGTTCGCTTCTCTACTGCTTTGACGTTGTGTTGACAAATATTACACCATACAAAAATGAATCATAGTTCCTAAATCAGCATAGCATAATATTTTCTGGTAAATGAAACATTTAAAATTAACCCGATTGCGTCATCGGGTCAGGTGATGCTGGGATTACATTGCATATCTTGCTCGCCTGAAGATTTGATTTCAGTCCCCGTTGTTGGAAGAATTAACCGTATTCGGGAGTAAAGATTGTCCCACAAGCATAAAAACTCGTGACATAAATATCAAATGAAGTTCTATCAATAGTAAATAATAATAGTAAACAAGTCATCTTTTGGTCAGGTGAGTTTAGATTAGAGAGAAAAGTAAAAACTTTGACCGAAAAGCGATTTATTCAGAACGGGAAACGTAAAACGTGAATTATTATTTGATCAGATAAATGTCACACAGGAGTCATAATTTTTATTATCAACGGCTCTTGACAAACCGTACAAATAGACTGTAGAACGTAAGTGATATCCATGTAATGAAAAATTGATGAATACTGTAGATGCAGAAAGGTTAAATATACGCGAAAGGATAGATGTTTTGCCAACATCGCTTTATTTACTAAATTACAGTTTATTATATCATGTAGACGATATGATAAAAAGCATACGATTTAGCAATGACTCAAAAATGTTACAACTTAACCATGGTATCAGCAATCAAACACCAGTACTAACATTGCAAGCTTTTTTTCATTTTTACAATCTATTGTTTACAGTACTAAGCCTCCTATAACCAGCACTTTATACTTACCAACACACTCTTATTGCCTCTCCACCACAATCGACGCTCTTAGCCCAACGCCTTTCCCCCCCGTCTCCGACACATTTCCGTGGCTCCCTCTTATTCTCGCTTCGCTCGTCAGAATTTTCTTTGAATGCCACGTAAAAACAAAAAAAGCAGACTCTTAAAACCGATTCCACCCTCTATCTCCAAGCTCACGCCTACTATCGAAGATATGGAAGACTGGGACGCGAGTGATCTGCTCATGTACCTTCGAAATCGCCAGGAGAGTCTGAAATTAGACGAGGATGATTTGAAAACTGTTGAAAGGACAAGAATGACAGGAGAGGCGTTCCTAAAGGTGAATATAGGGAAATTGAGAGAGTTTGGGCTAACTTATGGAAGTGCAAAGAAATTAGAAAAGGAAATCGAGCGATTACACGGTAAGTGTTGTGTAACAAGTGGATTTTACACCTGCTCTGAATTTTAAACGGATTAGTCTAGTGTGCGTATAGGTGGCAATAACATCGTGTATTAATCATTATAATGCTAAAACATTTGTTTTCTACAAGTGTTTAATGGAAGTAGGGTGCGAACCGGTCTAATCAACAAGACAGGATGGATGGAAGCACCTCAAGGTAAACAACAAGATCCTGAGCATTCATATAGTAGAGTATGCGATTATATTAACGCTAATCCAACAAATCCTTTCACATCACGTTAGAATGATATTCATTTAATATTTGGGGTTCTGTCCTTACCTAACGTGTTTCACTACAACCATTTTTGTGCGATTACCATTGAAATTTCTAAGCTAATGCATATTTCGTCATAATATGGCGATTCCCATGTTTTATTGGTTGGCTACGAGCAAGCAACTAGAAATAAAGCAGTTTGTGGGGATGCAATACAATAAGATTTTTTAATGCAGAACAGTTTGTGGAGACATAAATATTGTGATGCGACGCATGCACTTGCAATGACAAGATGCGTGACAGTCACACATATTGTTAGTATTAGTGTTACATATTCAATTATTCCGTCTCAAAGAAATAGACACTTTTTTTTTCTAGCAAACAACGACGCCCTAGAATAGAATTACAACTAATCATCCTTGGTAGAAGAGCATCCTTTTAGGTATTTCGTTTAATAAATGTTGATATTGATTTCACTACTGACCTATGAGGTATGTGAGATACCTTTGTCAATCTCGCGTCTAGCATTTATTATACAACGCTTAGACGCATTGTTATTGGTAAAACCAAACTATAATAATAATAATCGATTGGCTATAAGAATTGTTGTTATTTACCCAGTACACCAGTAAAATATAGTTGTTTACCCATTGTATCTGAACGTGTTGATCGACTAAAACCAGCATTCCCACGTTGACAGATGATCGACATGAATAAATTAATTATTGCTATAGCTTTCAAGCTCCAAGAATGTCTTCCCCATCATTCATCAGAGTTTCATCAACACATTTTACATGGGGAGACAAGCCATACTTTCTTGTCGGTGCCAATTATTGGCAAGCGATGAATCTATCCATGTCGACAGGAAATAGAGCGAGAGTGCTTCAAGATTTGGAGAAATTGAAACAAATGGGCATCAATAATGTGAGAATCATGGCCGGAAGCGAAGGGCCTAATGAAGAACCGTTTAGAATGAAGCCGGCTTTGATGAAGGAACCAAATGTATACGATGAGGACGTGTTTAAAGGTAATGATAGTAAACGAAAAGGCGGAATGATTATTCTTTGGAATGTGATAGAAACAACGTGACAGTATTATGCGCTTGTGCATTTAGGTTTAGACTGGTTCTTGGATCAACTGACCAAGTTTGATATGACCGCTACGATGGTTTGTATACTATCACTTTCAATACTTTAACAATATGCGTTATAATTATCTTGTCTCTTTTTCTCGTTCTCTTTCCCGTTTTTCCTGTAACTTACCCAAACATATTTACACGCTCGCATCAAAACTTCAAGACTCTCTCAAACTTTTGGCAATGGTCTGGCGGCTTTGCGCAATACGTATCTTGGTGCGACCCCACACATCCCCCCATTCCATACCCGACATCTTCAGATTTCACAGCCTTTGAACGCTTTGCGGCTCGCTTCTATTCCGATCCTTCCATCTATTCCGCCTGCCAGTCACTTTACCAGCATCACATCAAGACGGTCCTCACGCGCAGAAACACATTTAACGGGAAGTTGTACAAGGAAGATCCCGTAATATTCGCGTGGGAGTTGGCAAACGAACCACAAATAGTTTTGGGAGATAATGGGAGAAAGATCGTCAGGACTTGGATCGAAGAAAGTGCAAGGGTGATCAAGGATCTGGATGCAAATCATTTGGTGACGACGGGAGCCGAAGGGAAGAATGGGAAAGAGTGGTTTCTGGAAATGCACGAGTGCAGCAATATCGGTATGAAATAATAACGTAACAAGGATGAATGTGAGAAATAGATCATGAGGGGGGTGGGGCGGGGCAAGGATATTTTCAAAAATGGTATTAGAGTACTAACAGGGTATACAGATACGCTCTCCTGAAAAAAACTGACGGGCAGAAATGAAAACTGATTATTAAATCTTGACTCTCCCTCTTCCTCTTCTTCTCGCAGATTATGCAAGTGCTCACGTTTGGGTAGAAAATTGGGGATATTACAATTCAAATGATCCATCAACCGAGAATTACTCGCGAGCAGAAAATTTCATGTTGACTTTTATTGATAATGTTAGCAAATGGTCTACGGAAGAGTTGGGAAAACCCGTATATCTTGCAGAGTATGGTAAGAAGAATTTGCTCAAACGAGAATCCTCCATGTCAGTTTTTATCCTTTCCCCCGTCTCCCCTCGTAATCTATTCCAATCTTTGATCCTACACACCCCGCTTTCCAGGCCTTGCAAGAGACGGTTGGCTTCCTGTATCCAAATACTCCCCATCAGCATCGACAACAAATCGTAATAAATACTATAGCTCACTAATGAACAAAGTTTTGTCACTCGAGAAATCACGCTCTTTTAGTGGACAGGCATTTTGGGCATATTCCGGAATTGCGAGACCGAACGATTCGCCACCTCAATGGTTGGGTGATCCGCCTCACGAGCGTAAGTTTGGAAAGAGGGGAGGGAAGGTGTGGATAAGGAGGAAAAACAAGACTATTCTGTGCCAGAATGTATGGATTAGAATTGACAAATTCTGTGTTTTTTAGCTGCTGGCTGGTATTCGGTGTACGATGCCGATGAAGAGACATTGCAGATAATAAGAGAACATTCAGATAAAGTCAAAAAGTTGGCGGAATGATATAAAGATACTTTTCTTAGTGAAATTATTATTTCTTACAGTGCTAAAGATTTACTCTGAGCATCTCTATTGACAGCGACTTGGGTTTATCGAGTACGGGATTATATTTTGGAGAGTGACTATTACATAATATAATACTTTTACACAAAAACGCGTTTCGTTGTAACAACAAACCTTTTCGACATGTCATCGTATCACAGAGGAGCGTAGACTTCCCATTGCCATTATTAGTCGTCATTGCAGATACTCTCTCGGCCAAGAGAGGATAGCGGCCGTAGAGCTATTCGATCTGCGACCAAACGAGCTTCATTTATTTCTTTCTCTATTTCTCGTAAAAGATGAAAATGTTGTTTCTGCCGAAATGAAAGAATTACATGGACGTTTAGATAAAACGCGAATTTGGAATGAGGGGAGCAGACCAAAAGACGTAAAAAGACAACGCCATCGTACCCTCTTCTCGTTAAGAATGAATTCGTACGCAACGGATTGGCTGTTGCCGACGTGATCTTGATTAAAATATTCGTCGCGTTGGTTATGCCCTTGAGCGAAATTATTGGGAGTTTCACAGTCGTCTTGGATGATATCGCTCTCATCATCTTCGGGCGTTTCATCTTCAAATATTTCGTTTTCTCGCATTCTGTGCTCGAACTCTTGCATTACGTTCTGATTTTTATAATGCTCGTCTGTTTTCTTTTCCACTTCAAATGCGCGATTGTCAGCCTTGCTCAGACTTTCATAACACGTTTCGGTTCTTTCTTGTTCTCTCCGTTTAATGCTGACAGCCAACAAGATCACACACCGTTGTCTCCATAGCTGTTTCCAGTCTTCAGCCAGAGACTTTAACCCTAATGTTCTTTCTTTGTCGCGTTTAGTTGGATTGAGACAGTCGACCGCTGGCGTTAGTATGGGCGATGAAGATGGGAGAGTGTAGAAATGTAAGAAATTGGATATAGGGAAACTTGCAAAGAGAAACGGAACGAAATGCAGAAGAAAAGATGGAACAAATTGTGTGAAAGATAAAGGTGGAGTTGGACGAAAAAATGTTGAGAGAATTAGAGATCGGGGTCCGAGTGTGGTCATGGTAAAAATGTCTTTCGTCGAGTTATGCTTATCTGATTGAATCCATAAGCCATCCACCAAAAATTGAATCCTGTTCACATTTCACATTATCACTCTGACCTTCAATCCATTGGATCACCGCTCTTTTGTCTTTGGAACAAAAGAAACTTGAAAAAAAAAAAGACCCCTGCTTGAAAAATGGGAAGAAATATGCACAAAATGTTGAATTTTTTGTTTTGCCTTGTGCTACTTTTAGTAGCAATTTCCTAATTTGTTGAACAACGGAACAAGCGACGTATTAGTTCAATTATATCGCGTAGCTACGTGAAATTGGGCTGACGGCAATACGTATGTTATGCGGCGACCTAACTGTTATTCACCATACTTTATGTAATGTTGTGCAGTGAGCCAAATAAAAGACTTGAATGTGACAAATAATAAGCTTATTGCCAACAATACACCATACATGAAGAATAATGAAATGCAATAGCTTCACCGAATAGGGAATAGATTGCGATTGTGGTTGCGCCGAGCTCATGCAAGACATGAACAGCATCTTGTTCAGTCCATGATAATAACATGCTTCTTTGAGACACAATATGTCTTTTGCTCATATCATTTTGTCATGTGAATAAGTATTAAAGCGAATATCAATATGTCCATACCCAAAGCTTGTTTGATGGTAGACCAAGCCAAAGAAAATGCAGTGCGGGGTAAGCCTGGCGCGAAGATGGGATGCTTTTGTAACATACGAGAGCTGCGACTCGAGTATACGATAACAGAGATCAATCACTTGTGATGATAATTAATCGCTCGATCTTAATGAAGAACGGGTCTACGTCATCAAACACAACAATTGCGAGACCGTAACATTCGTGAGAAATATGTAACACTTGCCGTGATGCAAAAGGAATTACTGGAAGAACCTTCTGTACAAACAATTAATAGGATTGTAACACATGTCACATTCCAGTCAACAGGTAAAATCTTATCTGCATTCGAGATGAAGCAAACAACGATACGCAAACAAATTGGTTGCATTTTCGCAAGGACAAATAATAACCAGTGTGATTATCATAAATGACTGCTTTGTAATAATGTTATTGTCTGTACGAATTAAGTTTTATGGTACATGAACTAGGACAAATTCAAGTACAATGGTCGATCGAGAAAAGTGCTTTCAACATCCGAGACCTTTTGAACGGGGTTGTAAAAATATCGGCATCCAGAGTTGGATAGAGAAGCAGGCATTTCCGCAACAAGTATTTCCGAGAATTTAAAACCTTTACGTTTCCGTCATCTTGATATCTTATGCTGAGAGTCATCACGACTGTAACTTATTGGTTGACCGAGTTAAGATTGTACGTTATGTCATAACAACAATAATGCACCAGTGTGCAGAACAAGAGTCCCACAATTCGGTCATTGTCTTACTATTACGAGGCACGCTTATCTGCCGAGCCAACACCTTACAAGGTAGATTATCGCCTGTACCCTTTATTGTGAGTAAATGTAAATTGTTTCTCGTCTCTAAATAGCGATCGGGGGTCTCTTTTACTATTTCCTGTTCGAATCGTCCAGTATGACACAATAACCTAAAAATAACCAACTTCACATGGAAATGATTTTGCTATTATCAAGATTACGGACAGAAAACAAGTTTTGCCAGTTTAACTTGTAGACGTCACAAATCGAACCGTTGAATAGAAAAAAGGGTTCGAGATTTCATAATCATGTAATCGAAATATAAAGATCGTTTCACTCTTAAATTTTTCGATTATCCGAAACGAAAAGATGATCTCGAGCTTTTTTTTTTCCCCTATTACTATGCAAATGCATGATGATGAGGCGATGGAAAATAATCCATGGTTTATAAAAAGAATTTTTTTTTGTGTGGCGTTCGATTAGTTATGTTGCTCAAGTTGCCAATATTGCCCAATATGAACAATTCAGGAATGGCGTGCGGAATATTTCGCAATGAGAGACTTTTGCTTTTGGTTATTTTGTTTGTACATCAGAATTCTATTGGTAAACCGTTCCGAATGACGGAACTTTACGTAGCACAATCTCTAATAAATGCATGACACATCCCGACTTTAATCGCTTGTACAGCTAGTCAATCACGGGGGACATTTTACACCTAATTTACTAATATCATTACCATGCGTTGTTGCTAAGTACTTATTCCCTCATCACCGAAAACTCGCAAATACACACACACACCAAAAGAGACTTTCTGTTCGTTATTATTTATAACGATATAGATACCTCTCTTCTCGTTTCATATAACCCCAACCGCCCGGGCGACCCGACCGGAGATTTTACATGCATAACAACGAACCGCTTTTTTTTTTTAATTAAAAAGTAGTTCGACATAAATCTTAAATAATGTCCTCCTCAATATCACCTTTCTACCGCCCTGGCACATTCCCTGTTTTATCCTCCCGCGTACTCGCCAGCGCTTCACAATCTCTCCGATTAGCCATCCAGTCACAACACCTCATTCGCAGTTTTTACTCTTCACCACCGCTAATAACCCCACCTCTCACCACCACAAAGGGATTCACATATTTAATAGGCGCCGCCTGGTCACCAAAGAGAAAACGTCATAACGTAATAAATCATGTAACCGGAAATCCATGGTGGAGAGAACAAATGAGAACCGGAAAAGTCGATGCCGGAGAAGACGCTTTTTTCTACGTTTTAACAAATTGTGGTGTAGCTTTAGGGGTGGCTGATGGTGTGGGTGGATGGGCACAGGTAATTAACCCGATTGAAAGCTTTTTTCTTTTTTTCAGCGGTGAATTTAATAAATCTGAAAAAAAAAAACAACCTTGTTTATTATTAGATGGGTGTGGATTCGGCAGCGTTTTCGTGGGCTTTGATGGATAATGCGGCAAGCGTCGCAAAAGAACTTGGTACCGCAGAAAGGAATCGTTATAAATCTAGTGTTAGACGATATGACGATATGGTAGATGCCAAACGCATATTAAGCAGAGCCTTTGAGAACATGATAAAGAGCGGAAAGGTTGAAGCCGGTTAGTTTTTGCAAGTCTTTGTCCATCTTTTTCACTCTATCAGAATGACTTATTTCTTCACGTATCGACACACACATACACACATACACACATACACACATACACACACATACACACAGGGAGTTCAACGGCATGTATTCTCTCGCTTTCCAACGATTCCGGAATACTCAATGCTGCTACCTTGGGCGATTCAGCATTTCTTTTAATTCGCAGTGGCCGACTTCTTTACGAGTCTCCTTCGCAACAACATTTCTTCAATTGTCCTTATCAACTTACATTAGTACCCGAACATTATCCCAATCAAAAATTATACATCAGAGATAAACCCAGTGATGCGGACCAGTCAACACATCAGTTGCAAGACGGTGATGTAATATTACTAGCAACGGATGGGTTTTATGATAATGTGTTTCCGGAAGAAGCGGTTTCTATCGTGAACGAGGAACTCGATAAAGTTTTAAGCAGTAACAAAGGCACCCGGAATGTAAGCGTTGAGGAACTTACAAAACGGGTGAGGGGCTTGTCAAGAAGGCTCACAGATACTGCTAGAAAATATTCTGAGGATCGAAAACGAATTAGTCCGTTCAGTAAGAATGCAATGAATATGGGCGAGTCTCGGTTAGGAGGGTAAGTTTTAATAATGTTTCTTTGGGTTCTTTAATGTTTGGAAATTCCTTCTCTGGGTAAATTCCTGATTTTTATTTTTCTTTTTTTCAATTAATAGGAAAATAGACGATATAACTGTACTTATTACTCTGGTGAGGGCGAATTCATGAAACAGGTCAAGTTATTTGTTTATAAGTAGAATAAGGGATTATATGAAAATGAAGAGCTTTTCCAAAATTTCGACAATGCCTTGCAAACATTTAAGCAAATTGTCAAACATGTCATTTGTTATATATGCGAGTATTTCTTGTAGTTTATTCATAACATGCCAAATTGAAAGTCAAAGTATGTCACATCAAAAAGTAAATAAACATAATACAATCATACAAACATTCGATAATTTATATAGGTTCTCCTTTCACTTTTGTATAATGTATTGGACGTGTCTTGGAACCAATATTTGTATAAAAAGGTGTCATCTGATATCCATCTCCATATTAATATCCAGGCTAGTCTTTTTGTGGACCTCTTTAAAGTACCATATGAACAATGTTTATTTGTAAGGGCACTTCCCCTCTCCCCTCCTCCCCAATATAGCAATCAGATACAAACTAAGAAATAATAGTAAAGAGATCAACCGTCTTAATGGCAACTCGTCATTATCTCCAATACCATATGATGAGACGTCATTACAAAGTCTCGCTTGGTTGCTTAGAATGTAAAAGAAAAAACTCTCGGCAGTAAAATCAGCACTCTAAAAAAACACAGGCTACAAAGTAACGTTAGCAGTATGTAGTGTGAGATGCAAAAGCATGGCCTGTACCGTATGGCCTGTACCGCGTGGCCTGTACCGCATGGCATGGCCTGTATCGCATGGGACTTGTTCATTTCGGCAATCGAAAAATCGCAATCGATGTAAAAGAAAAGACGTTGGATTTACATTAACGCTAACTCGATATGTTTCCAACTCCGAAAAATGATGGGCGGGTCTATTACGATTACTATAAAATCCTAAACAGTATCTGAATTGATAAAGTTTTTGAGTACGTTGTACGTACAAAAAATATGGTCTATGGTCGGTGCATAAATCGTATGACAGTGTGCTACTACCCCTTCAAGGTGAGATCATGATGCTAAGCTGTATATGTTTAGGCTGATTGAACGTGATCAAGGGTGAGGGAGTTCGCGTAATCAAGGAAATCCAAACACCTGACAATTTAAAGGACTATTTATAGCAAACCCCTTTTTGTACACATAAATGTTTTTTCATATTCCAGATGAAAGAGTTTCAGTTCTATTTGATTGGGACGTATTCTCAATGCAAGCCCTTGTTCAATCAATGCATAACTAGAATTGCAGGTAGGCCAAGACCAAACTGTTGGGAGATGGACCTCGTGTAACGTATCCGATACTTAATGATACGGGTTTGAAGACGATAGGCTGTTTAGAAACCAAACGTCAAGAAGCAGTCCGGCATGAGAAGGTCGCATTATTCGCATTGGTATTACATGAGTCAATTTTTATTGCCTCAAAGTACAGTCGTTGCATATGCTAATATATCAAGTAATTATTAGTGGTATAAAGCGAATGATTATCTATCTGTATTAAATATGATGCCGATGCTTGTGAAAATGACTCATCTACAATAAAAAATTGATTTCGAAAATAAAACAATTTGCGTAAACAACCATTCATGCAATACAACGTTTAAAGAGCACCAGAAAAAAAGCCTCAAAAACATTCTTCTTTGTTCCTTCTTTGTTCCTTCTTTGTTCCTTCTTTTTTCCTTCTTTTTTCCTTCTTTTTTACCCCAAAATCCATTTCTAATTCAACAATCGTCGGATGGACATCTTCTGGCGAATGCGTCTTTGGCTAGAATGCCAGTAGTTTCGGATAATTCGGGAAGTACGACCAGGAAAGTAAGCAGAAATACGACTCCACTTTGATCCGTGTATGTTATGTAGTTTGTCAATCTCGTTACGTTCGTCCTTTGTAAGAGGCGAGTTGTTAACTGAAAAATAAAACAGAAATACTTTTAAATAACAAATCTCCCATGTTAACAAGACATTTCCATGGTTAACTCACTTCCGTTCCGCAGAGTGTTACGCCATCTATAGTAATAGTTATTAGCATTAATATTAATGGTTTAACAATGTAACCGGAATTACATATTCCACGGTGTTTTAAATAAATATTTCGAGGGTTGAAATTTATCTCATGGGACTTTTATATTGTGTGTAATTATAGAAATAATCGTACCTTTCTGCACATTGTTTAGCGGTTCTATTGTGAAAGCGACGTGCTACTGTTGTCCAGACACCGTATTCCTTATACAGACTAAGAAGACGAGCGTCTTCCTATTTGCGGATAAACAGTTTTTGAAAACAGCATTGTTGCATAACAAGAAACGTTGAGAAAGAATATGATACCTCCGGCGTCCATCTCTGTCTTGGTCTCATCTCGTTCTTGAGGGTCGGCAGATATAATGGCTGGGGGCATTAGTTATATATTAATTGATGACGCATCACGGACTTTAATTTCCGGGAGATGCTGCGTAATGAACACAGTAACATATTTGGGCAATTAACTCCGAGAACTGAAAACCGATGACTGAAGCTTTTGCCTGTCTTTCCGCTTTCCAATTATTAAATACGACAGAGTTTCTCTGAACGAATATTTGTGTGAGCCGGCATTTTCGTTGAAAGGAGTTATTGTAAATGAAACGTTTTCTTAAACTATAGGATAGGTTTTGCTGTTTTGAATTGAAACTAAAGTTCTTCTGTAACGTCGTTATCAATACTTTTCTTTTCGGGACAAATTGACAAAATACGTGTACAGTATAGCTCTTTCCAATGGAATGTTCCATCGAACTTTGCAGCTACAGGCGTTAGAGTGCGTGTTTGAGAACCTATAAGACGAAGCATTTTTTTATATCGGGTATGGCGTATAGGAACGTTATAGATAACAAATGGTAATTAGTATATACCCAGACCATCAAAGTGTACAGTTACTGCGGTCTTGGAGCATCAGTAAACAATTTGATTTTAAAGTAATATCAAATGATAATCGATTGAGAATGCACAATATGCTTTATTTTTCAGTTGGAAACGGCAAAAAAAAAAGAGAGACAAGTCTTTTGTTTTATTAGTAAAACGTTTTCGACAAAAGAGAGCCTTTTAAATTAGTCGATACGAGCTTGATTAATTTTCCCTTGCCGATGAAATTAAAAAAATTAAAAGCCGTATAAATTGTTAATGCAACATAAATGCTTCGAACAAGCCAATAACACCAACGTACCAACAAACAAGTTGTGCTCTTTTTTACGCCTTCTGTTTCCCAATATTATGTAAAACCACCTTGTAGAAAATATTTAATATATTTGATGCCGAGATGCATACAATTCTCCCAATAGTAATTAATTGGTTGGGTTTATCTGCTATAAAAGTGTTATTTGACGTCATAGAATGCCCGCCTTCGGACTTTTTAAATTACCGATGATGACGAATGTAAAATTGCAATGACAAAGAAGCAACACACTACGGCAAATATTAACCGAACTACTATGTAAGCCGTGAATTATGTCGGACACCGGGAGTTTAAATTTACCGTGTGAGTATTGATACTGTTATTTGTTTGTTATTGTTATAATTATCGTCATTATTATCAGTTGGGACACGTACCACAATCTATTTATGTTGACAATTTATCATGGGTGCTCATCTGATTCGTGTTCGCGTTAAGTTCATTTTGTGTTACGTTTTAGTTTAGAAATGGATGTTTGATAAAATTTTTGTTATAAACTTTTCTTTTATATAACCATAATTTTTCCAATTAGAAACATTTATTATTGTCTTGTTATTGAAGCAATTTTGATAAATAACCTTAAAACATAATGTTATGCAAAACTTGGATTAGCATGCTATTTCTTTTTTTTTTATTTGGAATTTAGTTTTGATTTTTATACTTTGCTGTTTTGTTCACAAAACTGCACTACTAGCATAAAAATAAAGCGTGCTTTGAACTGTTAAATATTAATTAGCAGAAGCATTCATATTCAACTGATGCAAGAGCTGTCTTCTGGCACCCTTAATTGAGAATATACTTGTTGATACTGAGGTATTAATTTATAGTATCTTACGAATAAGTAAAGTCATCATCAAGTATCAAAACAGAATAAAGACTACCATTTTTCTCTCTTGTTAGTTCAGCAGCATGGTAACAAAGATATGTATTGGTGCGGCTTGCCTAAAATGACGATATGGAGACGTTATGGATGCAAAAGTAACTCTACAGTTAAATGAGAATGTAAACAGGCATATATTAGATAAATAATTAACACAAACGTAAGTAAAATATTATTTTTTTATTACATATTAATTGATATTAATAATTAACTTCTAATAATAAATTCTATTATCTTTTCACTAAATGGGGCATGCTGCAACAAAACCAGACAAAGTGAACATTTGATTATGTGATGTAAATGAGAGGCTGATTATGATGTGGCTGTAAAATTGACCAGTATGACTGATGACGTTTTGAAAAGTAATAATGGTGCTCATTCATAACTTATGGACTTGTTAATTTTAATGCTCACTTTATTATACCAGAATGTGATGAATATAAACCATAATGTAATTAATATAGGATTGCCCTATATATATATATATATAATATTAATATGAAACTAATTTACATTAAATCCACCATGGAACCCAAAAATTACAGTACTAAGCATCTAAAAAAAGCTCAAGGAGAGAAAATTGCCCCTTACGTTTTTAAAATCAATGATACTCAAACTCTCCAGGAATATCTAGATAAAAAAAAAATTACTTATGAAATTTACCAAGAGGAAAGGAAATCATAACTAATAAACGAGCATTAACACCAACACATGATAAACCAAGAAAGAAAAGAAGACGGGCAGAATAAACAATCAAATTATTATTAGAATACCTTTTTTGTGTTTCAAGCAACTTTGTCTATCATTCATCCTCTTCACCTTCAAACTCTTCCCCTTCAGCTTCAGCTGGTTGATTTCATCAAGTGGTGACCTTTTTTCACTTAATAATAGCTCAAATAATACCTCCAACTAAGCTGAGTAATCCTAGTCCTGATAAGATAGCAGCAGGATTACTTCATCTTCATCTCGGCAAGAATTGTTCACTATCTTTAAAGAGCTTTTCATACTTCTTAGTAGCATGATTTTGCCCACCTAACTTTTCCGCATAGAATTTAACAAATTCCCTCTTCAGTAAATTCTTTGCCATCTCCATAAATGGTGCGATCTAATAAGATTAGGTTATCTTTACTGTCTTCATAATTTTTTATCTCTGCTAAGATACTTTCTTTGAGACTACTAATTCTTGTAAAGCAATGGTTCCCACCACTACTTTGGGATCTCGGGTAAAGAATCAGTCTAATCAAGCTCGATTGTCAGCACTCACTTCAGGAAGATCATAATAATAAGTATCATCCATTAACCCCTCTTGTTTTTTATTTTCTCATTTGCCAATACCTATCACATATGTTTCTGTCATCCCATCCCACTTACACTACCTCTCTCCAACCTTGTTCACAAACTAAAACAATATTATTAGTGAAGAAACTCTCAACTGAAGAGAGCAAAGAAAAAATAAAGGATTTTATCAAGAGCATAGCACCCAATTATATGTTTCATAAAGTGAACAAGAGAAAATTGAAAAATACCAGAAGCAATGAGCAAGTGCTTGATAAATTCTATAAAAATAAAAAGCCCCTACTACTACCATATAAATATGGCAAGAATGAAACAAGTCTGAATCTGTCAATGTTTGGAAAGGTATTAGACAAAGAACCAATGCATCATGGAGAAAAAAGAAAGTTTTCTGAATATGTATATGTTCAGGATGATTCAGGCCTGTCTGCTAAACACTACTTGATAACATTTGTTGGCCAGTCAGGCTCAGGCCAAGACAGTTTCAGTGATTGCTTTGACAAAGCAATATTTTGTCATATGGGGCATGCTGCAACAAAACCAAACAAAGTGAACATTTGACTATGTGACATAATAATAAATGAGAGGCTGATTATGATGTAGCTGTGAAATTGACCAGGGTGATTGATTATGATGACGTTTTGAAGTAAGAATGGTGCTTATAGACTGGTTAATTTTAATGCTCACCTTATCATACCAGAAGGTGATTAATACAAACCAGAACAGGATTAATATAGTATTACCTCTATATATAAAAATATTAATATAAAACTAATTTATATCAAATCCACTATGGAACCAAAGAATTACAGTATACAGCACTATTAGAAGCATTCTAATTTTCAATGCTTTTCCTAACGCAGTCACTCCTTCAACACTGATAGAATTTGTACTAATATTCAAAGAAGTTAAAGTATAATTGGTTTCCAAAGCTTTTGCCAACGCCATTGCTCCGTTATCTTCAATATTATTATAATAGAGATTTAACTGAGTCAAAGTGTAATTTAACTCTAAAGCTTTACCCAAAGTCGTGGTTAAAGTGCCAAGCCCAACAAAGCCTAAATCTAAACAAACTAAGGAGCAATCTCCCATTAGAAGTTTACATAAAGCTGTGTTGCCTGCATTCCCGTTATGATTGCCGTACAATTCCAAAGAAGTTAATGTCGAGTTTAATTTTAATGCATTTGCCAAAGCCAAAATTCCTTCGTCTCCAATAGCGCTATATGAAAGATTTAAAAAGATCAACCGCATAGTCGTTTCTAGAGCTTTTGATAAAGCCGCTGCGCCAATATCTCCAATTTCGTTTCTGTCAAGTCTTAAGTAGGTCAAAGAAAAATTAGATCGCAAAGCTTCAGACAACGCTATTGCTCCTACTACTACGTCTCCAATCTCATTATCGTTCAAATACAAGGAATGCAAAGTAAAATTCGAAACTAAAGCTTTTGTTAAAAAAATTACTCCTGTATCTCCGATCTTATTTTTACCAAGATCTAAGGACGTTAAAAAACTTCATGTTTTCTACCAAACTTGATATTACAGTCTCACACAACTGATTATTTCTAAGATTTAGAGTGTTTAATGATGTGTTCATTTTTAGAACGTTGGCTAAAGCCGCCACTTCCGTGTCTCCGATTACATTGTCATGAAGTTGTAAGGATGTTAAACAAGAGCTTGATTCTAGGGCGCGCACTATTTTTCCTGTTCCACTTTTGATGCACCCATAAATTTCAACTGTTTTTAAATTTTGCTGGCATTGAATGGTTTTGCCAACTCTTCTTCATCGTTGCTTGCAAGAGAAATTTTTATGTCTTCAAGATTTGATAGGAGTTTGCTTGCTGACGCTAACAGTTCTCTCTTCACGTACTTTCCGTGAAGAGTAATTTGTTTCAGACGTCTAAAGGCTGTATTGGCATTAGGTAACGTGAAGAGATTTAAGCCATCATTAATTGCAGAAAACCGACACTTCAGCGTGAGGTTAACGCAATTGATTTGTGAAGAGTGCGAAACAACTAGTTTGCATAGAATAAGGCATAAATCTTACTTCCTTCTCTTACCACTAAAAATATCTATATTTAATTGTGCAATTCTTCACATTTATCAAATTTAGGTAGTTCGTTATTCAAAAACTTTTCTTTACAATTTTACATGCTTTCTGTTTTGAATTATCTTGTCAGTAACTTTACTACGACTTCTAATTTGTTACAAACTGCTTTGTTACTCTCATTTCTTAAGCTGTAGCAAAAGCTACAATAACAAACAGATTCACATCACATCATTTTCCAACTCCAAAATTGCATAAAAATAAAATTTTTTTATAGTACACTCACTACCAAAAAGTATTGGCCGAAATTTGTCGATCAATAGTAAAACATATGAAAAATCCAATTTTTCAAA